TCTACACGACTTAACCCTGCCGACTACAAGTACCTTAAGTATATGTTTCATGCTGTTCATGACACAGCTAACTCTGCAGACTTGATAGGGGGAGTTCTCAGAGCAATCTAATGAGGGTTAAACTGGACAGACAAATTTTAGGATGTCCACTCTGTTCTTTAAGAACCATGAGATACTTCAGACAACACATTTCTGCCTACATAACCAGTACATCTGCCATCTTCACAAGATTTTGACTGGATGCTGTGAGAATTTCTGACCAGAAAACTAACCTGAGACAAATCCCAAAAGATTATAACTTGTTGGTTATACTACAAGTGATGCTAAAATTTACGTAACATGAGCCAACAATGGAATCTGAAATCGGGACTCAATAATGATAATGTAATGCCCTTTAACTGACATTCAAAATTATGTTTATACAATTATATCCCTGGACAGAGAGGGCAAGAAAACATCATATTCAGCAAAATTGTTGAAGTGAAACAATAAAAAGAGAACCAGGGTAAACCTGGCACTATGTTCCAATGCCAAACAGGAATCTATAACTAACCACACTTGATTTGAAACTATAAATAAAGATAATTAAAAGAAAAACTAACTCATGGGGTCTTTTCATTTTGGCACACTAATTTGTCAAAGCCAGAGTTTCAGAATCTTCCCCCTGCATTCTGACATCTGATCCTTCCTTCCTTCTTCAAGAAAAACAGGGATGAAAAGACTTTTCTTCATGTTCATTTCTCAAGTCTCAACAAAATAACATAAAAATAAATACATGCACACACTTCTAAAATTACACATACAAGTGTTGTAAGGGAGAAAATGAAAGCAACCGTGAGGCCTCTTGGAAATGAAATGATTGTCAAAGAAAAAAAACAAACATTTTCTAAGTGTTGTTTGGCACATACCACTTTTGCTATTAACATCTAGGTTATTATTATTTTTACATCATGTGACAGCATCATATAAATTTGGTCCTTCTCTAAAATAATTAAATTAACAGTTGAGCACTTAAAAAAAAGCAATACTGTGGTATCTATAGGAAATAAAGTAAATACATTTAAATGATGATGCAATAAACAAAAGAAAAACACACTTTAAGAAGAATTGTAGATCGGTTTCAGCAAGAGCAAATTTAGTAGCTAATTTTAATGGCTATTGGCCCACGTTGCTCATTACATCACATTTGAATATTGGACATGTTTCTCTATATGTAATTAATGAAAAATCAACAGCCTACTGATTCTGAATATTCATTTATTTTGAATGGTGCTTTTGTTGATTCTGAAATTAAATAATAATTCAAATGATCAGAAGATTAGTTGCCATGTCTACTGGAGAAAAACCTATAAAGAATCACTCATAAGTCCATTCCATTTCTCCTGAAACAGTGCCACCTGGTGGACATGCAGAGTCAGTGCTGCAATGCTTGTGTTGGGCATAGTGCTCAGAGACTAAGTGTCTTTAGGGGAGCCTTTTACAGAGTGTGATGCTGCTGGGAGTCTTGTGCACTGGGGGAAGATCAGAGTGACGCAGAATTTTAATGCTATAGACAAGCATTCATCATGTCCTTCACATCAACAGGAGCTTAGCAGTGCTTTCTCTTAGACAGTTTTGCAGGATGCTTCACGAAGGAACACTCGCCGATTCCTCTGTCAAACTCAAATGTACACATAAACATGTGAACACAGGGATAGCCACACAAACTCACTCGCCCTGCCTTGAATGAATGTGACAATGAAATCCATCGCTGCCTTTTGTCTTCCGGTTGTCTTCAAAGTCTCTTATTTCTGTCTGTTTGTGAGACTAAATGTCCTCCCCCCCACACATTATTCCTTCTGCCTTTTCTTGGCCTCTCTATGCCTAGATATGGTTGAGTGGGTGAAAGCTGCTCGTCTCAGACGGTCCGCTCCCCATGCTCAGCCAAGCGTCCAGAGAGTTCTGAGAGGGCGCGTGCAAAGGGTTGTTCTCTGAGAGAGACAGCATCATTGCATAAGCCTGGAGGAGAGAAAAAAAGTTGAAATGAAGACAACCTGCAAGGTTTCTTATATGCACATGTTAAAACACCTTATTCTTTAAACAAACAGTCCTCAAGAAATAAAAGGATACTTGAGATTAATTTGCAGGACTGAACAATGAATTTTTACAAACTTATTTCCTGATATGTTGTGTTTTAATATGATGTGTTTTAATATTTTATGAATCCCAAATGGAAATTAAATGTTGCAGTAATTCATAGGGTTTGTTCCCCCCACCCCAAGTTGCTGTAGGAGTTGATAACTAGGTAGGTAGGAAGGATCTTCTGTATCGGTCTGTCTTGCAACAGATCTGGAGAAGCCACTTCCAAAAGACACTTGCTTGTTGTTGAAACATATTCTGTAGATTATGATTTATTTCGACTTACAAAACTAAATCTTGTGTTTTGTGTAAGGGACGTAACACACTGTACTGTTATCTTCAGAGGATCTGGCAAATAAATAATTAGAAATATTTTGATGTCATAGTTTTTCATTAAGACCAAAAAAATTGTCAAATTAATTTCATGCCTCTCCATTATTTGTCTGTGATGGACAAGCAGAAATCAATGCTTAAAGTTAAAAACATAAGAAAAAACAAAACATATGAAAGCCGAGGTTTAACTTTTTAAAATTTGAGATTCTAATAACCTGAAAAAAATGAGTGTAACAAAAAAGAAAGCAGAAGATAAGTTCACTTAATCTGATGCTGTTTTATTGACATTGTTCGAATGTGTAGAGTGGGCGACATGCCATAGGACCTGGAAATATTTTCACAATCACTCATCTAATAACTGTTTGACCACTTGGGAGCAATCCTAGGCTGTGTGTGGAACACAACAATTGAATCCAAAGGTGGTGAAGAAAATGTTATGACTGGGAAAGAAAAGAAACACTTAATCTATCAGTATGCAATATATTTTGATTCTTTTCTTACAATGCACAGTTACAGAAAATAATACTTTATAATATCTACATCATATCTTCTAATTTAGACTTGTGTGTGTAGGCGTTCTTATAGCAACTTTTACAACTGAAGGCCGCCAACATGTGGCAAAATAAGAGAATGCAATCGCAGATTGAGAGTGTTTTTTTCAGCTTGGGAAAGAGGTTGTTATCATATGCTTTTCTCCCTCAAGACATGTTTAGATTACATGTTTAGTTAGTTGATATCCAAATGTCAGCCACATACCTGGGTTTTAGCCTGCCTGTACAGTGTTTCTTTCAATGCTTCAGACTCTAGTGAAGTGTTAAATATGTCTTTAACATCAAAGGACTGCTCATCAATGGCTGCTTTACGTAAACCGTCCAGGCCCTTAGGAAAGCTGGGCAGACTCTCAAGATCCAAGAGAGAGCCATCCTCCTCTATACACCTGGACACCAAGCCACGGGTGAATGAAAGGATGGAGCAGTATGAAGGGATGGATAAGATATCAGAGTAAAACACAGACATTTGGGTCAGACAGATGGAGTGTTAATGGGATTTAAGGAGACGAAAACATTTAGAAGAGGAAGCAAATGTGGAAAAGATAAGGTGGAGATAAAGAGAAAGGTATAGTTAATAAAAGGTTAGAAAAGCAGGCAAGATAAACTTATGAGATAATAAAAAGGTTTAAGAAAAAGAGAGGAAGTTGACCTAAAATTAATAAAAGAGAAACTGTTTTAAAAAGCTAATGATAATCTGAAGTTTAAAACTCTTCTTTTCCCTCCTGTCCGTCCTCCAGTGCCTAGCAAGTGTATTTAGATCACTTCAGGTTTTTCACATATTTGACACATTTTTGACTAATTCTATTATGCGCGCTCGACTGACACAAAATACTAAATAATTGTGAAAAAAGTTTTTTTTTCTTGGACATAAATAAATCGGGAACGTTTTTGAGTCATTGAGTCATGTGCTATCAGTGATTTTTTCATTCCAATACCCCACAATACATTCCAAAAATGTTTCCACTATGAACACTCTATGTCACAGTGAAACATAGCGGTGGCAGAATGGTGCTAAGGTTGGTTCTTTTCTACTGCAGCTACACTGAAGCAGTGTAGGTGTAAACAATTAGTGTTTACACATGCCTTTAATTCAGTCTAACTGATTTTGACTACGTAGCAAAGAGGAGCAAGAAATTTTTTAAGTGAAGTGTCTTTCAGCTCTATTTGAATCAGAAGTGGTTTTATGGACTCGAAGAATGAATACAAGATTTATATTTGAAAAACATGTCAAAACAGACCCTTTCTTCCCCTTTTTACTTGAAATTTTGTTTAAAGTAAACATTAAAAGCACTCTATATATGGTTTAATGATCCAAAAAAAATATTGATATAATATATAGTATTTATTTACTTCCCTAAAGGTACACTTTAAAAGATTAACTATAAAACCTAACTTATGATTATAATTCCGTCTTGCTAAATAGTTAGCTTGGGAAAAACCTACCTGCGAGTGTGTTCATAGCTCATAGTTAATGGAGGCGTCTCTGTGTCTTCTTCTTCCTCGTCCTCCTCGTAGGCTCCTGTTGTGACGGGAGATGGGGATTCTGGCGCCTCGTCGTGTGACTTCTCTGTCAGGCTGCCTTCCTCCTCCTCTTCATCGTCACCTTCCACTTCCTCTTCCTCCAGCCCCTGCAGCCCAAGCTTGGAGTTGGACAAACTGTGGCTGGGTGGGCGCTCCTCCTCGGGCTGTTCTGACCTGCAAAGATGGGAGAAAATGTTCACAGCCTTGAGTTGCAGGGACAAAAGCTAGCTTTATCAAAGCTAAAATATAGTTTTGCCTTTTCATGTCAAACTGTATAAAACGGATTAAAACACTTTTAATCAAGATGTGAAAATGTTTTTCACATTCTTAGAAAATAGATGAGGAAAAATGACTCATTTCAAGTGCTTTGAGTGTTTCTTTTTAGTATATATATTAGGAGTTACGAAAATATGACAAAACAGTGTGCAGCTGATTGCTGTTACCATTTTCTAACCATCCAAAAGCATGACTCATCTTTCAGCAAAAGAAATAATCTGATGACAACATGCAGAGTACAAGTTTAGTGTCCACACAAACAACATGGGTGCCGACAGTCTGCCTGGAGCTGTTTCTAAACAACCCCATGGATGATTAATTGGCCAGAAACCCCTAAACAGAGAAGGAGATGGATCCGCCTCTGACCAGGTCCTCCACAAGTAACTTCACAGCCTTAACGGTGGAACGTAGCCGCCGTGGCTGAGCAAAGACATTGGCTCGGCTGTGAATGGGCTATCAGCACACTACCATTACGGCCTGCCATCTGTACATTTTCCAGCCTGCGTCTCAACAAAGAGCCGTTCCTCCATCACCCCCCCAACCACAATGTCATGGCTCATGATATCATTTCCTTTGGGATGGCAAATTTACTCCTTGCATTTTTTTTGCCACACTGCGGACATTCATCAAACCAGACAGGGTTACCTCTGGGAAGGGGTGCACAGGGACAGGATTGGGTCACACACAGTGGATTGATGCAAGCAGTTTGGGGGGCTTTAGGGGGAGAAAAAAAGTTCTTCTCTTTCAATCTAGATTAAATATCACCAAAATCAAATTGCAGAGCTGCTCGGCAGCGCTTGTGAACGGAGAAAGAAGCGTAGCTCAGATGCAGGGGGGGACCTGGGTTTTGTCATTTAGTCTAAACACGTCAGTTGGGTGTTTGTGTTAGTGGGCTGGGGGTATAGGCACCGCCGGCAGATTGGGGGAAGAGCTCAATCATCAGTGGATCTCCCAGATAAATGCCTAAACTAAATTCCCCCTCTGGGTCCTCACTGCCAGCTAAAGTAGCTCAGTCATACACAGGGAACCAGCCCCAATTGAGGTTTTATCCAACACTAAACCCAAAGCCATGACCTTAGGATTACGGCATGGAGGAAACAGATACTTCCTAGCTCCTAAAAGCTGCTTTGCGAGAAGTATCCATATCAATCTATACTCTGATTTTGTTTTCTCAAACTTTTAACTTGGAATCAGCAGCATTTCTAACATGAAAGTTTTCACGAGCTTCCAGGAACTCGTATTTTGACTGGCTGTAGCTTTGAAGGAAGGGAAACTATGGTTGCGAGGGCGGTTAAAAAAATGATTACAAATGGCCATCCATGAATGTGTGTTTGTGTTCCCAGTTTTACTTCAGTCACTCAGAGGGAGAATAAACAGCAGGCTGTCTGGTAGGAGGACAGAAAGCATAACATGTAGTCTGAATTACAGATATTAAAACGTCAGGCCAGGCTGTTGTAGATGAGACTCTGTATTGATCCCAGATGGCAGAGGGGCTAATTTGCCACTGGGTCTGCTTGCCATAATGTGTGTTGACAAGAAGAAGGGGGTGGGGGGGTAGAGCATGATGGAAGAAGCGAAAAGACAGAAAGTGAGACTACCAGAAAGGAATTCACAGCAAGCATAAAACCGACCAACTGAGTGGAGATTCAAGACGAAAAAAAAAAATGCTGACTGAGAGAAATAAAACATTTCATCCCTTATATTTTTCTTTTAGCCTGGATCCTTGGAAGCTTACCACAAATTACACATTTATGATCTAGTTGCAGGGAAGATGATCTCTGATTAGACCTCAGTAATATTTGCCAGTGAAGATAGACTGATGGTCGATAGAAAAGACTTTAATTGTGTTTATGCAGCATGAAAGAAGATCTCCTACATAGTAATAAAAAAAAAAATCCAGTTATAATAGGAATAAGTTATACCGGGGGGGTGGGGGTTGTTGCCCCCTTACTTATGTCTTTATACTAAATTATTTACCAAAAATTGATAGTATAGATGTTTATAAATAAATATAATATTAAATCATTAAATTACTGTGATGATAAGATTCCTATAGAACTACTTGTGTCTGAATCTGAAAACATTTCTGGTTTTGATAATGTAATAGCCTGGTGTAATAAGAGGGCAAATTTTTAGAAATCTTGATGCTCACGCATTACAGATCACAATGAAAAGGACATTTAAAAATCAAGATAATTCTAGTTTCTTTGCAAAAACTAAGGGATGAGAAGTAAGGAAAGACTATGAAATTTGATGAAAGAAGAAAGATCGGGTAAAGGAGGCCACTAAAAGTGCTATAGAAATGTGTTAAAATTAGGAAAAATTGTATTCTTTATAAGTGGTAAAGAAGAGAAGATTTTAGAACCAGAAACACAGAGAAAGAAGTGCAGAAGCCTGATGAAGAAGAAAAGGAAGCCACAGAATCAGGGAATCCAGCCTATTCAGCTGGACCACCTGGTGTGTATTTATTCTCTGTATAAATTCCAGTACAGAGATGTAAGATTTGAATCTCTCTGTGAAACATTTTTCTGCCCATGAAACATTTTTCTCTGTTTTGTGGAGCAATTAAGTTTTATTTCTGAATATATAATATATATATAAATATATATTATATACATATAAATACATATTTCTACAAAGGAGGACGTTATGGTACGTTTGGTGTACACAGGGATAAAATCAATCTGAGTGCTTTAAACTTTTAATTTTTCATCATTTTGACAGTTCAGTTGAAAACATCTGTCTCTGAGGCAGCTGTTGTTTTTGTTTTCAATCCTAAGCTTGTTTAAGACACTAGGGAGCGCTGTATACCAAGTGCTACCATTATGGAGGCCTTGCAAACATATCTGTCCCTTAAACTTTTTTGCACATTGTATCATGTGGTCATTGTATCACATACCTAACTACATTATATTAAGTGGAAAATAGGAGATCAACAGAAAGGGTGCTAATATTTTAACGCGAACAAAAAGATTTACATGGTTTCCATGGTTTTTATACATAAGAATTTGAAATGTGTGGCATGTTTGTAGCCAGTCCCATTTTAATCAGACACCCTTCTTAAAAACAGTAAAAAAAAAGCTACCAAAACGATTTTGACCTCAATGTGAGGGGAAGAAATGAACATACCACATCAACCTGAAAACACAATTCCAAATATGAAATGTGCAAGAAACCTGATGCTGAGAGGATACTTTCTTCAGCAGGGCAAGGGAAGTTTGTCAAAAAAAATACAAAGATGGTTTGTGCTGAAAGAAAATCTTCAAGAGGCTGCAAAAGTCTTTAAAAATATGCTTTCCTTCCTTTTTGTAATTCTGCAATATTTCGTCTATAATACAAACTTTCAGAGAGTGTTAGAAGTTTTATAAGGCAAGAGTTCTCAAACTATCAGTTTCAAATCTAAAGTAAAAATTAAAACCTGATGAAAAACAGCCAAAGAAAATAAGCAATAACCTTTGAAAAACAAGTCACATGAATGCAATAAGTGTGTTTTGTCTAACCTTTTATCCATGGAGCTGGAGGCCTGGTTCATCTCACTGTTGGAAATGAAGTTGCGGATTTCAGAGAAGTACGAGTCTTCCTTCTCATCTAAAAGTGCATGATTGTCTGGCTCTGAGTTTGGAGAGGAGATGGTGGTTCCAAGATTGGAAAGCATCCCGGACTGCTGGCTGACTGTTAGGGGAAGATTTCCGCACATTAAAACTGGCGACTTTGGTAAATACAACATACAGCTGTAGTTGAAACAAGTATGTAAAAACATTTTAAAATGAAACCTGTAATGTATGTCAGCAACTCTACAAAATTAGATGTTTTGTCGAGAAATGACATTTCTTCATAAGGGTTCTTTGTTTTAAAAGATAAATTGAGGAGATAATTTAACGTGTAATTTTTTGTAGAATTTTAGCCTCATTAGAGATTATGCAGGCTGATATGAATTTAGTCACCATGGTAGAAGCTACATTTGTTTATTTTATCAGGTTGTGATACTAACCAAAATTTGGAACCCAGTTTAGATGTTAGCACACACAGGCAATCACTCCTTTCAAAATGATTTAATATCATCCAAAACCATTCCTTATATAAAATGTCCCTGTACTAATCTGTATAGGATCATTTAAGCATTTATCTGGGTAATGATTTTACGTTTTTTCATATTCTATGGTGAGCCATTTATTGTCCCAAATCTTTAGCAAAGCAGGCCTGGCTTTCTAACTACTGTCGCCTTGCTTTACTTCAGTTTGGTCATAAAAAGCAGCCACAGATGTGGCAGTCTCACCAGGAATGTTCTCGTGCTCGTGCTTCTTGAGATGGCGGTCGAGGTTGGTTTGCTGACCAAAGCAGCGGTTGCACAGGTGACATTTGAAGGGTTTCTCCTTGTTGTGAATATTGCGAACGTGGCGTTGGAGGTTAGAGGAGATGCTGAATGAGCGGTCACAGTATTTACACCTGCCAAAGATCAACAGAGTCATATATATTGGTTAGAGATACACCAGTATTATTAGGGGCTTTACAAATAATGACACTTATATATCATTTTCATACTTTATTTAATGCTTCATTAAAGATTTAAAGCAAATAAAAAAGGATTAAAACCAAAAAGATGTAGAAACCTGTAGGGCTGTTCCCCTGTGTGTGTCCGCAAGTGTCTGGTGAGGTTTGCTGAGCGGGGGAAAATTTTACCACAGTACCTGGAAGCAAGATGGGCATTAAAGATAGGTCATTATTATAAAAGATCTGAGTTTAAATGCATTGCAAAAAGGTAACCAGCTTTACATCCTACCACACTGACCTGCAAGCGTAACGTTCCTTGCCTTTTCGAAGAATTGCATCTGAGAGAGAGGGTGGTGGTGAGCGGAAGTTAAACAGTGGATGGGTCGGGTGTTGCAGCGTATTGGGCGGCATGTCCAGTTTTAGGGCACCAAAGCTCTCCAACTTCTCAGTCATATTTTCCATGGCTGACATCTAAAAAAAGATACATTTTTGAATTGGATGTTTTGCCTTATTTTGAAACTCATTTTCTCCACACCTGTAATGAGTATGGTTTAATGGGTAACTCAATGTGTATCTGGTTGAAAGCAAAGTTAAGACTTTTTCATTGTGAGGTTCTCTCAGTTAATTTTACAAATGATGTAGGGATCTTAATTTAATACAGATGTAGAACATCTGGTTGTGGAAGCAATAGTTAACGGATAATCCGGGATTTTTTATTTATTTATTTATTTATTTTTGGGGGGGGGGTTCAAAACTAACAAAGACTTTAATTATCTAAATCTCTAATTTTATAACCCTTATATTGTGTTTTTGTGTTTAGCGATGTCTATTTCATGACCCTTTCATTCATTATTACATTTCCATGGGAAAGTTAATCACACAGAGAATATACACAGAAAATTAGGTAGTCTGTCGCAAATACCATTTCTGTGTGAAAGATGAACTGAAGGAGAACTTTACCAGAGACATTATCTTGCTGCTCTTAACTGATTCAAGCATCACTTGTATTTTTTCTATTTCCTATTTTTTTGCTGAGTTAAATCAATGTAACTCCAAATGAAAAATTTAAAAAATTCTTAAGTTGAAACCCAAATGTTAAGCAGGAATTGTGTCACACCACAACAATCACAGATTACAGGGGTGAATACACACTGAGTTATGTCTGGTGAAACAGTGGGCAACTCATATCTGTAATTTGTAAGAGCGCCTTCTGGTGGTCAGAAAACAACCCTGCTGGCAGCCATGACTGTACAAAATATTCAAGGTGAAATAACAAGAAACCAATTTATAGGATGTTTATGTGCTGACTAAAACTGAACAAGGTAATTTTGTTTCCCAGCACCTAATAATACCTAAAGGAAAAGTAGGGTAGTCAGAAAATCAATGAAAGTATTATTATTTTAGGGGGTATACTGCTTTACCTTTATATCAGAAAGTAATTTTGAACAGAAAGTCTTTAAATATTTCATACTCGTCTTCTGTTCCACCTAGGATATTGGTTTATGTAAATTCTTTTGTAAAACATCCCCCAATGTGCACGAACATCAACTTCTAAACAACCACCTAAAGCAAAAGCAGGCTGAGGTAGATTCATAACCTTGCTTTTGCATATATGGTTTAACCTTTTAGAGTGGATATGTCTTAAAACAGCAGACATCCACCTTGGCTTCAGTCCCTCTCAGACAAACTGTAAGCCTTTCTTTACTTTTACTAGTGCTTGACAAACTGATCTAAATTCAACTAAATGAAGACTTTAAAAGAACCTTCTACTGCAATACATGTATTGCATGCTTGTCTCTTTAAAGCTGTTATGCTGACTAAAAGAAAATAAAAGACTGATTAATCATAAGCATTGATAAAGCATGATATATCAGAGGATAACCTTTCTGTATAAAGATCAGTAACTCACATAAACTGTAATATACTGAGGAATGTACCCCATCTGCTTTTACTGCTTTGATTCTGTCCTTGTTTAGAGCAGTATTTTGTTTTCTGCCTCTTTCTAACGTCTCATAAAGCTGCTGTTTCAGTCAAGAAAACATACAAAATACAATATAGTTTCCAATACCCCAACTGAGAGCAGAACTTTACCGGTTTTACAAGACCTGGAGAATGCTTGAGCTAAATTCAAATGACATTTTTGTTTTTTTTGCTTCTTGTTTATTGTGTGTGTTTTGAACTTGCTAATCAAAGTTTATGGCAGCAATTGTGTGTCACACCGCAACAATCACAGATTACAGGGGTAAATGCACTCTCGGTTATGCCTGGTAAAACTGTGGCTAACTTATATATGTAATTTGTAAGAGTGCCTTCCGGTGGTCAAAAACTACTGCTGCTGGCAGCTAAGACTGTACAAGATAGTCAAGATGAAATAACAGAAAAAAAAACAATCTTAGCCTATACTGTATATATACTAATGTATTGACTAAGCCTAAACAAGCTAATTTTGTGTGATAGTGAATAACTTAAGGACAAGTACGCTATTCAGTTTTTCTAAATGTTACTACATTTGTTTTTTTTATATATTGCTTCTGATTTATATCAGTAATTCTGAACAGAATACATATTTCAGTCTTATAATTTGCTTCACCTGGGAAGATAATTAGTTTATGTAAATAATCTTGCAAAACATTCTCCCATGTGCATAATCATCAACTTCTAAATCATCAACAAAGTACATTCATACTCTTGCCTTTGCATCTATCATTTTTAAGAGAGGAGATGTTTTAAAACAACACATGTCCACCTTGGTTGCAGTGCCTCTCAGACAAACCCTTTCAGTGGGCACACTGATCTGGATTAATCTAAATGAAGACTTCCAAAAACCTCCTACTCCAATAGAGATAGTGCATGCTTTTCTCTTTAAAGCACCTTATATAAACTGAAAAAAAGGACTTATAGAGCATAAAAAGCTATATTAGAGGACAAAGTTGTTTCTAAAGACCAGCAGCCCACTGAAACTGCAACATATTCAGGAATGCCATATCTCCTTTGCTTGCCTCGAAGTGTTTTGTTTCTGCCTCTTTTTTTCTTTTGCCAAAGCCGCTGTTTCAGTCTAGAAAACTTGCAAAGTACAATATAGTTTGTGATACCCCCAACTGATAGCTGTTTCCCTTCCCCTAGAAACTTTCAAACAAAAGAGCACAGCCTCGTAGGAGTTTATTTGACAAAACAAGGCTTACATCCTTCCTTTTTTTAGTGAATATGCGATGGGAGAGACACTGGGACAGACACTCCGTCTCTATGTGTTTATTCGCTGTCTGAGAAACGGTAGCAGGGGTTTTTGTGGGGGGGGGATTCCGTCATGCGACTGAATTAGAGGTGGCATTGTGTTTGGATCGCTGGGTGGATCACAGCTTAGACACTCCCAAATGAGAGGTTTTAACATGGAAGCGTGTGAAAACACTTTATTAGGGGTATAATAGTAAATTATAATGTTATTTCTTTAAATGGGAGCCAGCAAAAGGCTTGTTTTAGTCTTAAATTGTAAGTAATAAACATTAATAAATAATGAAGCCATCTGTAATGATATTTACAAAGGCAAAATACATCTTTCTAAAGGAATTTGCTCAAGAAGAGGTATTTTATTTTATGTACAAATATGTGTATATCTATCTAGATGTATAAGAGATGAGGGTATTGCAAAGTCGTGGTTGATAGAGGACACAGATTTCCAGGTCAGATTAAACTGCTTCCCCAATAAGAGCCCCCTATTCTCCTGGATACAAACACAGGATGTCCTTGATGGACACAGTGCTATTATCTAGCCAGCCAGCCAGTCACTGAGAAAAAATTCTGATGGGGATTGACTTATTAGCTGGATTGTGGACCCAGTACATAAAACAATGCCACAAATAACAGTGGTGTGGTCAAGCGAGGCAATCTATTCCAATTCAAATAGGTATTTTTATTTCTTTATGATATTATCATTCCTTGTAATCAAGATTTGTTGAGGTAGGGAAGGCCTGGGGACTGTCAAACAATGTTACTGATTATCAAAGGACATGGAATAATACACTGTGTCTTCTGAAAAAAATTCAGAACCGACAAGGTACACAGGCGCCGTTTCGTACACAAAGGAAGAAATCACAGAACCCTTGAGAAACCATAAGCACAATGGTGTGATAGAGCAGAGGGCCTTATTAATGTGGGTTACAGTAGCGTGGGAGGCAGGAGTTTGGTGTTTTCTTGTAAATCAAGCTAAAAGTCAATATATTTTGGTAGTAGGCTGCCCATTTGTAAAATGTTTAGCCCATTTTCTTGCTCTGATATCAGCTTTGGAATTCTCTGTTATTCAAAAGGTATGTACAGTTATTTACAGTTAGTTTACCTGTGGGTGGAAGAGTGGTGGGGAGGGCCTGAGGATCTTCTCTTTTAGAGCTCCAACTGGGTCAAGTAGCTTCCTCTTCTCCACCCTGCTGGACCAACAACAAGGCAGAGGGTTACGTACCAAGGTCAGTTTGTCTACTACGTTGAACCCTACATCAAGTTTTACTTTATGATCAATTAGAAAAATATGTAAATGGGTCCTGGTCTAATTGGTGCTAAAATACCTGTAGATAGGATCCATGAAAAATGCTGAGGGCTTGGCATAGTGCAGGGGAGGAGGCTGATGTGGCTGTGCCTGCGACTGCTGGTGCTGCGTCATGGAGGATTGGTGCAATGACTGAGTATGAGCATGAAGAAATCCCACTGAGGTTTCATCCTTATTGGGAACCCCCTTTCCAGCCCCATAGATATGATTCTTTCGACTCTGTGGCTCAGCTGGTAGGCCATTGTGGCCACTACGGTTTCTGCTGCCAATGCTGAGGTCCAGCGGCTGCTCTTCACTGTTGGTTGTCGCTAAAGGACCACTGCTGTTCCCAGTACTGCTATTGTTGGATGGGTTTGTTGGAGCTGGAGGAGTTAACTTGGCCTCCTTGGGTTTTGTTGTGAGATCAAAGGGTGACTCTGCAGTGGGAGCAGAAGCTGCGGGGGAACTTGAAACCATCTTGTGCAGCTGTTCATGAGGTGATTTGGGCTCTGTCTTCAGGAAAACGCTAGGATTAAGAGTGCCTCGATCAGTGCTAAAGGGATAAAGGGAGTTATGGAAGTTGGGGAGAAACTGGAAGGGAAACATGGAATGGTAGGGCAATGGACCCATCTTTTTCTCTTGATGAAGTCCCATCAAAGCAGGTCCAAAATATTTTTCAGCAATATTAGCAATTGCTTTAATGGAATCAGTGGTGGCTGCATTGGCATTTGTTGTGGTAGGAGGCAGGGCTTGTTCATCAGGTGGAGGAAAGAACGAGTGCAGGGATGCAGCAGAAGACTGAAAAGGGCGATCAACAGAAAGCGTCCCTGAACTAGACACAGCTGATATCACCGCACTATTTGAGTCTTCTAACTGGTTTCCATCTTGACTTGACACGGTGCCAGATGGCTTCCTCCTTTTGCTGCTCCCCTCACGTTCACTCTCTCCTTCGCTCTCCAGGTCAGAACCGTCGCCTGAAACAGTACCAGTGGTGGTGTCCAAATCGGTTCCACTTGTGGTATTAACATCCTCAAGGTCACTCCCATCAGAAATGTCTGCCATTTTAGATTTAGGCTTAGATTCCCCACTAGAAGACAAATCAAGCTTACTGTCCTTTTCCTTGTCTTCCAGTGGACTGCTAATGCCATTGCTGTTTGTCGAGCTGACAAGGGATAAAGGTGGGGCATCTAAGGGGCTCCGAGGGAGCTTAACCTCCTGACTGCTGCCTGCTAGAGGGCTCTTTAATAGAGGACTTGGAGGTAATAAAGGTGGTCGAGGATAAAGTGTTGGGGGAAAGATACCTGGAAACCCATGTGGGAGGGATGGGAAGCCATGAGGTCCTGTTGAGAAGGGCAAGCCAGCATGAGGGTGAGGTCTTGAGGGGAAGTAGTCAGTAAAGCCTAAACCTGACTGGTTCAGACCTGGCAGGTGGGGATGGTGGGACTTGGCTTTCGCCATGATGGGGCTAGAGCTCATGGCAATTCCAGGGTTGAAAATCCCTGCCGGAGAGCCGTAATGATTTTTGCCCTCACAAAAGCGCCGATGCTTGTTGAGGGAGGAGGTAGTGCTGAACAACTGCCCACAATCCTTACACTTGATCTGGGTACGACAGTCAGCATGCATCCGCTTGTGACGGCAGAGGTTAGAGAACTGGGTGTAGGATTTGTGGCACACCTCACCTGAGGACACAAAAAGACGTAGCCCATCAGGGCCTGGTTAAACCCATTTTAACACTGTCTCTAACTCTGCATATCCAATCAAAAGTATACAACACATTGCAGATACAAATCTTAAAACTTCATTTAGTTTTCTGGTTTTATCAAAGAAAATAATTTTGTGTATCTTATTTACAATTATATTACAAACAAAGAAAAATACCTAAACTGGTTGTAAAAATAATCCAACATGTAATAACTTCTAGGCTATGACATCAGTGTCTTCATTTTGATTATATAATTACATATACCTTTGGTAGACTCAGGTTTAAAGTATTATTTTAAGGAACAAGAAATCATGGCTTCATTTATATAGAGAATATGTAGTGAAAACTGAAGATAATGATGATAAGAAATTCTTCTGTCTATCACCAGAGAATTCTTTTGCAGAAAGATGCAAAAATCATCAAAAAGGTTTCATTTCTCTAATGCCAACAAGTAAAATATAACAAAAGAATGGTTAAAAATATATTTCTACAGAAAAGGTAAATAATGTATCTCAAAAGTGATTCCTATCTTACATTTTTAGAAAATGTACAGTTTCAGATTTGCTTTCCAATTTATAAAGACAAAGAAATTATTTGATTTATTTATAATAGTTGTAAATAGAAATCTGCATGGGGAAAGAAGTTTTGTGCTTAAGAATAAAAAGTCTTTATTGATTGATTTGTTAAACAAAAAAGATTTATTTGAATAAAAAAAAAAATGTCTTGTAATTGTTAGGGGTCACTAATAATTTTGAATGAAATTTTGAATGAAATTTTAATAAAGTTTTAATATTCTCAAAATAGGCCAAATAAAATTAGATTAAAAACGTCAAAGCCTGTGATTAACTGATATATTTTACATTGTTTCCCATTAACAATTTATTTGCTTAAGAGAAAAATACCAATTAAAATGCACAGTTTAATCACACTATATTTAATATAAAAAACAAATAAATAAAAAAAAAAATTTTAAATCACAATATACTTGGGCTTTTATGTTTGGGTTGAAGGACCATCAGGCAATGATCTGTTGAAGTGGATCACAGCAAAAAGGAATTAAAATAACTAAACATTATGAATTGTGTGCTAAGCACTTACAGATAAAGGGTTTGACACTGCTGTGGATGTGCTTATGCTGTTTGAGACCTGATGAGGTGGCAAAAGTCTTGCCACATTCAGGACACGTGTGAGCCCGCGCCCCCACGTGTTGAGAGCGGATATGTCGCTGAAGGTTGCTGGGATCTGTGAACACCTGAAAATGCCAAATGAGAGCATAACAATATGAATGTTTTTTATTCCCTAAAACTGAAAATCAAATGTATGAGTCCATATTTAGTTGCTAACTGAGTAACCAAAACTGTGCATTGTGCTATAAAGACTTAGTTAAAAAAAATTTAACGAAAAAGGCCTGAGTGTCCTGTGCACAACTTACGTGCCGGGTTTGCTGTACCTTATCACAGTTTTCACACTCAAATCGCTTGCCACTGTCATGAGACATCTGGTGGCGGATGAGGTTGGACTTCCAGTTGAAGGCTTTGGGACATTGATCACACTTGTACTCTCTCTCCTCTGTGTGGACTATCATGTGTTGCCCCAGACTTTATAAAAAAAAAACAAGAATTGTCAATAATGAAATAAATTAATTTCATTGGATGTGACTTTTTTTTTCTATAAAACAGAAATAAACAGCATTTTGTGCACCTGTACTCATTTGGGAAGATCTTTTCACAGTCTTTGCACTCATGGACGGGCTCATCGCTGTCTTCACGCTCCTGTTTGAAGTCGTCTCTCAGTGCGTCAAAGATGGAACCTGCATTCGAGCATGAATACTTCTGATGTCGCCGTAACTCAAGCGTCGAGGAGAAAAGCTCATCGCAGTCTTCACAGCGGTACATTTGCTCGTCTGGAAACACACATTTAGATAAACACACCTTTTAGACACTACAACCACTGATATTATTGAATTGAAAATATTGGTTGCTGATTTAGAGTAAGAAAGAGATAAAACAATAATTAGACTCCCATCCCTGTGTGTTAAAGCACCTTTTAGAGAAATGTTAGCATTTGGTTTTCTTTGAGTGCGACTCTTTAACTTTGAGGACATCTCTGTCTACAGATTTCCATGGAATTTAATTTTGGGTTCTGACTCAGTCCTTCCAAACTTTAAACTTTCCTTTAATGAGATTATTATACATCTATCAATAAGATATTTGCTTGGACTCACAGGGATGCTGAAAAATTATTTTGTTAATTTATTGTCAGTTTGACTAATAATTGGAAAGGTTCATAATTTTAAACACTTTGGTTTTGCACATAGGCAGGATTTTCTTTAAATGATACATTTTACCAAACTAACTGCACTTTGATAGGCACCATAAAATACTGACGTACAACAGTTCTAACAAAGAAAAAAGTTATTTAACTGTAACTGGATGAAGGCAGCCTGTAAGCTTTGTATCTGTTCATTGTAACAATATAAACATCAGTCGTTTGCAATGATACTGATCTCAAAATTGTCCCTGGATTTAAGCCTACTTGTTTCTTTATTTTTTCAGTGGCTGGTCTGCTATTCACACGGCAACTAAGAGCTAGTTTGCATCATAGCGCTTAATAACTCACACAGGCATGCCAAAAAGAGATAAAATTCTACCTTGAAAAACTGCTGTCATTACTCTTCAAGAAATCTATTCTGCTTTGTCCTTTAGTTACAGCAAACAGACTCCCCCTTTTCCAAAAGGTAATTGTAACAATCCAGCAATTGACATCCACATAAAATAGAAATCAATTAGCAGTGAAATGTGGGCTTCATTAACACACTTAATTACTCGTTAAAGCAAGTGTTTGCCTCAGACTGGAGCAGGTAATAGCACACAGGGGAAACAATAGGGGCAGGTCTTTCTCTTCATGCTGATAACCTTTACAATACTTCTCACAGGCAAGGTCAAACACATAAAACTTGGACCAGCTTTTTCAATAGCCAATTCCTGAGCTGGACGCCAAGTTCAACAGATCAGGGAAAGCCCAGAGGAGAGACTTTGTGCACACCCGCCGACGTGTGAATGTGTGTGCGAGCCTGTGCTCCTGTGAACATTTTCCAAAGCGAGTCGCAAGGAGTGGAGGTAAATAGGGCCATGGCGACGCCAGCCCAGTGGTGATTTCAGCCCCAACCTGCCAAAGCCTCTTTGCCATGACCCGAAAAGCAACTGCCTGAGTCTCCCTGCCCCTGCTACACACTCTCATCCATCAATCCAAAAACTGCTAAATGAGTTTATCCAAAATGACTTACAGTGCATGGCTCACCTGCTATCTGCTAAACATGAACATTTATCCAGCTGGAACCTCTTGGAAACATTAAAAGGGGATTAGAACTGCAACATCAGTGTGTCTAACATTCAAGAGACGCATAAACGACCACCTGGTCAATGGACCATTACGCGAGCTCAAACGCTACACTAACTAGCTTGCTTTGACACTGATGTGTGCATATATTTCTCAGAGAATGGATATTAAACGTCTCAACATTTAGGTAGGTTTCAGAGAGGAAAAACATTAAAAAAGCACATGGCCTACGTCCACTCGTGTTACCGTAGGCTTTTGTGGATCTTAATAGGTGGAAAAGCTTCTGTTTATGTTAAATGTAGTTTAAAAAAATGGCTCTTGTAAAAGCAACACAAGTGTCCATTGTGAGAGTGATTCTGTAGGTCAGAATACACATAAACAAAGGCGTTTGCTCGTGCATATCAGTGTACATGTGTTTTTTCAGTTAGTCTGCTCTGTGCAAGTGGGCTAGGGTGGGATTGGGGTGGTGGAGGTTATAAAGTGGAGACTAATAGATCTCTGGGAGACGAAGGGAGGCACAATTATGTGCAGTTTAGCAGCTAATCTGGGAGCATGGGTGAGGTCTCAAGGGACTCCTCAAGTCCTCTACTTCAAATTCCTTCTACGATAAGCCAGACACAGAAAGCAGGGCTGCACTGCAAAGCACTGCCTTTCTGTTTCAGTCGCACAAATAAGTGGAGAAAGAAACACAAAGCACCCTGGTTGGAAGACTTTGTCCGAGTCCTTCTAAAATATACCAGGGTGTTTTTTCCAATAAAACAGGATCTGTAATATATCTCTAGTATCTCCCTTATTCCCTTTCTTGCTCCAAAACACAAAAGACTTTTCTTTCATACAGATATTTTGGCAGGTGACGTTTGCTGTGCCAGCCTCATCTATAAGCAAACACACACTGAAATGAATAGAGCAAATCGCTTCTATACCAACTTCATCTTTGACCTTCACTCAAAACATACCAATTCCCTTCTTTAATGCAATCTAACTTGTTTTCAGTCATGGTTTCCTTCACATATTTTGGCATGAAGATCTATGCACCATCTGTACATTATGCAGACATGGAAACTTAATGAGCTGCAGAACATCTTATGAGCAACTCGTTCTCCCTGCAGCAATGTAAGTTCATAGACAAGTTAAACTTTTTAATCCTGGGGTCAGGAAGCACAACAAAGACAATGTTACCTGACAACAGTGCTTTACTACGATAAATCCAAGATGTTTCAAGAGGCCCAGAGAAACAACAGATATTTTTAAGAGTTTGGAAGAAAGACCAAGACTAAGGTAAAAATAATCACTAAATTAAATTATGAGATACGGTTCCTGACATATTTAGTTTGATGCACACCACATAGGGACAGTTCAAAGGAAAGATAAAATCTAAAGCAACATCAAGCTAAATTATAAAAAACAAATACCAGGATTTTTTTTGCTCAGAAAAATTGACAATGCTGAGCGACTTGAGTTTATAAAATGCAAAAACTTTAATATCTGTTTTTATTAAGGAAAATGGAATATAAAAAATTTGATTTTATAGAATAATTGTGAGGCTTCTTCTTGTAGAATTAGTGAATTCAGTTATAACATGATGTAATTTAGGCCACAGCATGTCACTGTAAAAATAGCAATTTGCAGTGAAACCAAACAGCTCTGTTGTAAATACTCCATCTAAATCATGCTATAGATTTACAATGCATCCTCATAATTGTTGTATTTTGAAATATAACATGGATAACTTAATCACTAATGATCACTTAATGCAGTTTTTACTGTTTTATTTAGTGATGGGCCTGCAGATTCATGTTGGTCAATTTTACAATGAAACTATTTTATAATAATGATGCTCTATTGTTTTTTAGTTTTACTTTAATAACCTAACTGATAGTAAAGACAAATTCCAAAGTACAGCTACAACAGTTTTATTTTTACATACTTTTTGTATTTATTTCCAGTTTTTTTAATATATATATATAAATAATAATTGTTACATGTACGAGATTTAAAGAAAAAAGGAGACCTAAAGCAGTCTTGAATGCATGATGCTTTCATTTTCCTTCTTTGTTTTTGTTTGAAAAATATTCCACAATGTGGTTTGGATGTGTGCGGCGCTACCGAACAGACAGGTTCCAATTTCACACAGGCTTCCCTTACAGAAATGGGCCAATTAACGGCTTGAGCTGCAGCTTTTTCTGTTGTGCGCTATAATCAAAGATTAGATCTGACCAGACATCTGCATGTACTGGACGTTTCATTAAATTGGAGACCCCTTTATCATTTATTTATAGTCAATATAATCCTCGTATAGAATAGTTATTAGATGTAAAGGATTTATTTAGGAGCTTATTTATCATTTAAATTAATATATATATTCTTAATTTTTCTAAATTCTTTAGCGTGAAATAATGTTTTTCCAATGGAGAATTTTCTACTTTTGTCCGTTAAGCATTTGCGAAAGCAGCGCAGGATGCGAGTTGGAGTTTGTTTAAAATATGCGCTAATGACGCGCATTAATCTTACCTTGTAGGTTGGGTGCCATGGATCCCTCGGGGAAAATCCCGTCCTTCATATACACCAAAAGCTCCTCCCCTGCTTCAATGTCCCGAACAGCTTTATAATAAATCTAAGGAGAGGGGGAAAAGAAAAAATAAATAAAAGTAGGAAGACTTTAAGCTCAGGTCAAGAAGAAATAAATAAATAAAAAAAAAAGTCAGGATGGTTTTTTTTTTCTTTCTTCCTCTCCTTAATGGGGTCATGTTTTCAATTTGCATATTCACAACAGTATAAAGTGATCAGATATCCTAAAGTATCTAGGCAAATATATGATTTCTTAAACGATATTAAATGTAAAAAACAAAACAAAATGCACCGACGAAGTTTTGCATTAATGGTTTGTATTCCTTATTATTAAAAAATAGCAAACGAGCAAATAGGTTATAATTTCTCATCTTTGGAGTAAATATAAGGTTAAAAAACGTGCTTATTTACGCTGCATAAAAAACAAAAGTAAAAGAAAAAACGGATAAACAGAAATTAAAGCATGTTTGATAGACTTTCAAAGCGGTTCTTTGCTGAATAAAATTGTTGATAAATTAACTGATTAAAATACTTTACTTAGAATTATTTCAACCACTCTAAAGGAATAATAATAATAATAAAAAAACGAAGAAGACAAAGGCCATTCTGATCCGCGGCCTTATGTCTTAGACCTTTCAGGTAAAACTCTCACCTTGGTTTAGAGAATATTTAAAAAAAACGAGAAAAAGAACGAAAACTATTATACGTAATAAATATGATAAAGAAAAAAATAGAATAAAAAATTTTTTTATGCATTACAAGCCACAGCGCGTCCATCAAACATGTCGAAAAAAGCTGCTTTCTACCACATGGGGGCGCTCTGCACCAAGTGAAAAATGTCCGCGCAGCAGGACAGCAGAAAACAGCCTTCATACACACTAGTCTGACACACAAACACAAAGCCTATATAGGTACACAGAGGCTGGAGAAACTAACTATCCACATATAGGTTCGTTAAGGAAGCAGACAATTGAAAAGAACATTATATTATTAGTATTGTTATATATTATGCTTATTAATATTATTATGATTATTATTTTTTTCTTCCTGCTTTTACAACATTTCTATATTTACACACACACAATCTCTGCGGGAGCTTCCAGACGCGGTTTTCGACCTGACCTTTCTTTTCTCCGTGAGGCGAAACAGTTGAGAAAGTTGCGCGGCGCTGCGAAGAGCCTCCAACTGCAGTAACACTTCAGTCCCGGAGGAGTTGGCGACACAACCCATAGTAAGTTTACCGAAGAGGAAGAGAGAGAGAGAGAGAGAGAGAGAGCAACAGACAGAGAGAGGAAAGGAGAGACAGAGCGGGACGCCGCTGCGGCCGGGGCCGGGGAGAGGAGGTCGCGGGTCGGCCGGCAGTGCTAAGGACGCGCGCTGATGGCTCCCTCTGGCTGGATGAAACCCCGACGCTCCTCTGCTGGGCTATTCTCTAATCTAGTCACTTGAGCGCGTCTTTGATGATGGTGATGAGTCTCTCTCTTTCTCCCTTACTCTCTCTCTCTCTCTCTCTCTAAGACTCCCTCCTCTCTCTCTCTCATTAGTGATTCCCTGTTGCCCCTTGGTGCTCTCCTGGTTACCCGTCGGCCACTCCTCCTCATCTTATCTCCAGCCAAAAGGATCCAGGGATCAGCGGCGCAGACCCCTCCCTGCATCACTCAACTCTATGGCCGCTTGGACCGCCAGATAAATCGATTATTGATGTAAATAATGGATAAAGAAGCTGGGCCAGACTTGCGCTCCGTCATATAACCCAGTCAGGGAAAAGGCCTTCCGAAAAGGCTCCAATATCCTATTTTTTTCCCCCCAATCCTCAGATCACCTGCTCTTAGAGAGATATTACCTTAAAACTCCTCAACCGATTTTTCTAGTTAATATCAATTTATAAACTATAATTTCAATTTACTAGTAATTCATTCTCTGTTATTTAAATACACAATTATTTCCTCCACAAAAGCATCCTACTGGAGAAAGTTACAAGTAGGTAAATAATCCTTTGCGATTTTCCTATTTTTTTTTATTTTTCAAAAGAACTCAAATATAAGCTGAAAACGTTAATTTGGTTGACATTTATTTAAATCTAAATTCACTTCTAATTGTTTTATCAACATATATTCAGTCAATTATCTTTTTTCTTTTTTTTTTTTACAAAAAACAAGGTAAAATAATTGTCTTATACACCTACATTTTATGAGGCCTTACTTGCAAATTATTATGTGTTGAAATGAAAACATTAAGGATCCATGAAATATTAAAACATATAATTAAAATATAATAAGTTGTAAATTGAAAGAGGTTTGATTATTTTAGAGATGTGTGTCCACAGGATTTTTGAGTTTAATACATTTAGGCCTCGATCCTGTTTTGACTTCTTCCCTTCTCTGTCCGATGTTCAGGAGACAGATGCCTCATCGATCAATGCCAGCCTTTGGGGCCTGCAATAATCTCCTACTGTGGCCTCACACACACACACACACACACACACACACACACCCTTGCAATAGTCTGAGTGAATTGATGGATCCGTCCAGGGGTAGAAGGGCAGATCAAACAGCGTTAGAAAGGGCTTCCACTTCACAACACAAAAGATGAAGGGTTGACAAGAAGGTGGACAAGGTTCATCTTCTCTTAAAAGCCCCATCTACTTTAAACCCAACACACTAACAGCACTCTTTGCACTCTCACAGGAGATACAACCGGGCCTTATGCAGCCCCTGAATGGGCTCACTTGCATGTTTTGTGCAACTATTTGGCAATCTGAATGGACATTAACTCATTCATAAAGAATAAACACACAAACCCACATGAAACTGATGATTTCATTGGTTTTGATGTAATTTAAAGTGTTTGAATATTTCATAAAAATACAATTGTAAGCTGACTTAAGTGAGAAAATTTGCTTGACATAAATGTGTTAAAAATTGAGTAAAAGGCTTCCGACAAAAAAAATAAATAATAATATTTTAACTTCATTGATCTCACATTGGAGAAATTTACCTCTGCATTTAAGCAATCCCCTTGGGGAGCAGTGGGCTGCCATTGTGGGGCAACCGGGAAGCAATCGGTGAAGGGTCTTGCTTATAGACCCAGAGTTGCAGTCTGTGAAAGTGGGGCTTGAACTTAGAACCTCAGGATTCCAAGGTTTATGCCCTAACCACTAGGCCGCCATTCCCTCATGTTTGCTCACAAACTTCAAACACACACACAAATTTTAACTTTTCTGGAAAATTTAAGAGACTTTCATCACTTCATGCTGCACAAAATACACAACCATAGATATCTAAATTATGTATGTTGGTGCACAAGGGTGTTTTTATCTTACATCATTAATGATAAACAAACAAATACATTTGCAGCTTTCTTTTTCAAAGGGAAATTGCCTTGTGTGCACATATTTCCATAAATCCTCATGCATTGTGCATGCCGATACAAGAAAAAATGGAAATAAAAATCATGAAATGGTCTGCTAAATTATACATTTTACCACTAAGTGGCTTCGTCTATGTGAGTATGTGTATGTGTGTCTGTGCTCTGTTTGTAAATAAATTATAGGGTCATACCAGCAGGTCACTATACCAAGCAACTGGTCGGGCAAACAAAAAGGAAAGCCTTGTCGATAACAACAAACAAGTGTAAAACACATAAAAAAGCAGTCATGCACGTGGGCATTTTCTTGCTCTGATAATTCTCCACAATTTTCTCTGGTGCCCGGATTCTTTTTTTTTATTTTGTTTTTTTTTTTTACATTATGTGGCAATAACAGGGGACACTGATGTGAAAAATCTCAAAAGGATTAGGCAGGTTGGCGTTGCTTGCCAATTGGTGCTTGTCAATCTTGGGAGGCCCCGAGATTGCATCCCCCTATTTTGCTCAGTCCATGCTAGGCCCCTCTTTTTCTTCATAGGTCGAACCCTTATGTCTAAGGCCTTAATAAACGCTTTAGCCTGTCCCCTTGGTGTGACAGAGTGACAAGTGGCAGATCAAGACATGAAGACAGAGGGAAGTCAGCAAATAACAGGCGGCAAGAGGCACAGACGGGAAGGGGAGTGAGCCATGTAGGCAGGGATTAGAAAACAAATAAGAGTGGAGTGACAGGAATGCGGGGAACACAAAGCAAAGTCATATGGATTCATTTGGCTACTGTCATGCAGTTGTCACTTATTATTTTCCGCTCTGTTTTTATTTTGTCCTAGTCTTACAAGCTTTAAAGTAAGATGCCTCCTTTCAATCTAATACACTACTTACAGTGAATTCAAGCAGACGCACTATAAAGGAGAGTAATACCATCAGTGTGTCAGCATAGAAATGCTAATCCATTGCAGCAGTAAGTTGTGATCCACACATTGCATGGGGTTATTGTTAGTACCTAGTTAAGCAGTTGGAGTTTTATAGGCAATGGCTGGGCATCTTTCCAAAAGCATCCACCGTGTCTTGGCCAAGTTTCTTTAAACAGCAACTCCTTGTAAAGAAGGAGCACGCCTTGAATAATAGTTATCGTGGAAATCAGGAGTGTCTGAATATTCCTTAGCCTCTTCAGTTGGGTCATTTCTTCACAGCTTTGGCAACTGGCCCAGCTTTAGACCAACAATAAAACCAATCCTAAGTCATTACAGCACACATGAGTGTGCTCACTCACACATCAACCCCACAATTAATAGACTGAAAGCTTTAACTGCGGCTCCCCCTTCTTGCTGCCTTCTAGTGACATCGCAAAGCTTTTTCTTCTTTTTCTTTCCATTAGTGGAACCCAGATCCAAAAGAACAATGCTGAAATGCCACTCACCTGGTCTCCTGTGAGGTGACAGGCAACAAGGTTCTGCTCCTCAAATGATAAAGCTGAGCGGACGTATTTTAGCCAACTGTTGCTGGTTGCATCCTGGCTGCTGTCCAATGCAAACTTGACGTTGCCCATGTCATCCATCACCTGTTGGAGAGCATAAGTTAAAAAGATGATCCAAAAAACATGTTGATTTTTTTCCTGACAATTTTTAATGATATGAAATTAGTTTATTTTTATATTAGAACAAAAACTGGATACGTTTCCTCATTTAAGAAACTGAATAAAAATAAAAACTTCATAGGGCAAATGTAAATAAATAAGCATCTTAACAAATTGTGGCAAAAAGCTGTTCCTCAATCTTGTATTGTTTTGGACATTGTGGTACGGATTCCTTGATGCCAGCAACTCTGTATGTGGGAGGGCGGTAATCACGTCATGATATCTTGTGGTCATCGGTGTGATATTTATTGATTCTAGAGCAGCAGCACTCATCTATAACCCTATTGTCTCAGGCTTGTGGTGCATATGTTGCAAAGCAACAGCAGCCAGGCTATTCAGGGGATCAAACTGCTTGTCAAATGCCTGGTTGATGATTCCATTGCATTATTTTCATATGGAATTCTTATGTTCTATGCATTTGAAAAGAAATGTTGATTTGTACTAGTTTATTGCGGTTAAGAAAGTAGGTGTCCAAAGGACATTTCCTAAAAAACACAGTTTGCTTAATTTTTTTTTTCTGCAGTTTTATTGAATTGTCTTTATAAAGTGCCTTGAGAATACATGTGTTGCGAAATGGTGCTATATAAATGACCTGAATTGAATTGAGTAATGAAAAGTACTTGAAAATGCTACACTTTCCAGAGACTGTGATCTAAGCTTAACGTTTAAGTTGTGGAGAGTCTACATGTGAATGGTTGTTAGGACCAGCTAATGGTGCCAGTTCTGACAACAAGGGAAAAGAAGGAGTAAGGAGGAGGGAGTATACAAAGTGGGGCTTCTTTCACTTGTCTAATGACTTTCTCTGGCATGTATTGATCACCCTTTGTAACCCCTATAGCCCCCAGAGACTGAGAATGGGTTTCAAGTTACCCGCTTTCATAGAGAATGGAGGCGAACAGAGGTTGTGGCAAATGAGGAACAGTAGAAGAATAGAAGAAGGCTTTATTGTTAGCTAAGAAGTCAACAGATGTGTTCAACCTTGTTCTAGAGCTATATCACTGACGACAAATTGGTACAATTATAAATATCCCAAGTGATAAATTTACAAAAGTGTATTTAAAAAGAACATCTTTTTGCAACTTGACAGCACAGAATGGCTAAAGCATAGTATATTTTTGTTACACTTAGATGAAGAGGGGTTTGGATTCAGCTGAACCACCTTAGGCTGCCGGTGTTCACCATGTTTGGCTCTGATTTCGCCTTGCTACTGCTGTTGTTACTGATACTAGGAGCCAACGTGAATCCTCCCGAGAGAACTGGCCTGGGACAGAGGAAAACTCCTCTAATTACAACAACCAATCAACCTGGTCTGAATACAGCGTTGACCTTTGGCTTGACTCTCTGCACTCCTAATCACAGTCAAATGTTTGCTGAAGGAAGCTGAGGTGCGATGGAGAAGAACCAAATAGCCATCTGACATTTTTAGATGTGCAAAGTTTGTGAACTTCTCCAACTCAGTAAAGAAAACGTTCATGTTGTATTTTTCTCAACCGCTCATAAAGTGTGAAAGACCAAGTTCTTACTTTCTCAGTTTGAGCAGAAGGTGCTTTTTTGTGGGTGGAGTACAGGTGCCAAGTTTAGTGAGTAAATATGTTCTGGATCTGGATTAAGGTGTGGAAGTGTGGCTTGCATGAGCGGGGCAGCAGTTTGAGGTGAAGGCAGACATGCATGTATGGTTTAAGTAATAACACCCGCTGTGGCTCTTTCAACCCAAGGTGTGAGCTTACCCGCCTCGCTATTAGGGTCTTTATTAACAGTTCCTGATAATTTCTTAGATATAAATAATTCTTTATTCCTTTCAATGAGAAACCCCATATCCCAATGCGAGAAAAAAGCAAAGGTTCCTTTTATGTAGATCTATTTTCTTATCATGAGAAATAAAAAGAAATGCTTATATGCAATGAAAATTCTTCTAATAGAATACCTGTGATCTAATGAGAACTGTTTAAAAGCTTATAATAGGGAATTGTTCACATCCCCTAACACCTCTGTCCACTGTCCGTTCTACTCCTACTTTACAACCCAACCTGATAAAGTCCAGACATTTTTTATGTGCTTAAAAAAAAAAAAAAGTCTCTGCAAGCTAACCAAGCAGACCGACTCAACACACACGCACTCACCGACTCCTTAGCCTAATATCCTCTTTGCAGCTGGAGGAGTCAGAGTGCACTTGTCTTAGCGTTACTGGGGAGCTGCAACCGGTATTATACATGTTTTATTAACAGATGTTAAAACGAAGCTGAGCTCCAGATGGAGACTGGATGCACACGCTCCTATGTAGTTAAGCCAACTCACAAGCGTTGCATATTTCATCCTTTTTTATCGTCCTACCAGCCTAGCTCTTGCACACTCGTCCAATGTTCTTAACATGTACTTAATGAGCAGCAGACCAGTGCTGGTTGTATGCTTTCCTTTTTTGTATCCTGGTTGGCACATGTGTGTCTTTCTGTGTGTGTGTTGTCTGGGAGGCCTGCTAACACCCTGTCTCTGGGTGGAAGCCTGATTTATAAGGCCTTAAATGAGGGGCAACAGAGAAGGAGAGCCAGAACAAGCTTGCGGCTGATTGTTTGTTTATTTACCTTTACCTTTCTTTTTCATTCACTCTACTTCCCTCCATCTACACATGTCACACAGAGCATGAGGAGAAGAGGGAAGAAGGGAACCCTGCTGGAAATCATCAGTTCTCCCTGTAAAAGGGTTTTCAACAATGCAAAAGTAAATTTAGCTACCCTGAAATTTCCCCTGAATGTCGCAGACCAAAAATGAAAACCCATTATTGCAATATACTGATTTTATCGAATCCTTTTCAAAATAATTCACATAATCAAACTGATATTTTGTCCCAGTGCCACTATAGTATATTTTGATGACATACATTGCCAGGACCATGTGTTTTAGAACAACACAAGGTAACCAGTGACAGTTGTGGGACATTTGTATTCACCTCTCCTGTTTCAAACTTTATAGAACCACCTTTTCTGGAACTGCAGGTGTTTTGATGTATGTCTGTATTAGCTTTGTGAATCCAATGATGAAAAGACAATTTTGCAAATTCCTCTTTGCAAATAGCTTAGCCAGATTTGGATGAAGTGCATCTTTCCACATATTCCTAAGTGGATTTAGGTACTGACTTTGACTGGGCCATACAGCAGATGCAATTGATATACTTTACACTTTTTAATTGTAACCCTGGTTATGTATTTAGGCTCATTATCGTTGTCTTTGTCCATGAAAGTGAGTGAAAATCTTCCCCAGTTACCCAGTCTTTGAAAAGTCCAAGAGGTTACCCTCTTTCATTGCCCCATATCCAACATCTTTCAATTAAGTCTAAACAGTATCTGTGTTCTTGTTTAAGTAAAACATCTACAAAATGATTCTGCCACTACTGTGCATTATTGACGGGATAGCATGTTTAAGATAAGGCTGGGTGCTGTATTTTTTGCATAAAAAAACACATTTATTTTTGAGTTGATCACATGATCTGTGGAACCACAATTCTTCTTATTTTTTGGAACATTTGGTAAATTGTCCTTTCATGCATTTTAATGGCCATGTCCTATTTTTTTTCTTTCTAAATAATGTTTTATTCTTTTCATATTTAGATGAAAGATGTAACATTGTTTTGTAAAATAGACAATTGGTGCAACTGGTTGCACTGCTGTCTTGCAGCAAGAAGCGCCAGGGTTTAATTCCACATAATGTATGAGTGTGTGCATACTTGTCTGTGTGTCACGTTGTTTCCCTGTGTGATACTAGTTTCCAGCATGAACCCTTCTACTTGCCCAATAACTTCCAGCTCTAGGCAAGGCTCCAATGCCGCCTTTCATGGAGATGGAACAGACTCTGGATCAATGTTTGTTTTTAGATATTTACTGATAATTATATTTTAATATGTGCTCATTTATTGTCATTACATGACAAAAGTCTAACAATGTACAAGCAGGATGGTTACTTTTGGAAGTGGCTGTATTTCTAAAGCCATCAGCTTGATGAAGTTTCTCTTTATTTTTTCTGATGGAGTTGGTTTCCTGATTCTTGTTCCTCTCACTCAGGTTGAACATTCATTCAGATCTTATGTTTAATTCTCATTACGCTGGCTCTGTCATTCTTTTTTCTTTTTCCAAAAACAACAAGAATCAACAACTAACTTCACTTCAGTTATTATTTTGATCTAAACTCAAACAGAATTGGGAAAGGGTCAACACAAAGGAAGTGATTACACAGGATTTTATTCACATGCAGTGTGGAACAGAAGGCCAAACCTGTGAAGTTAAATATATGTCGGATATATTTGACTTTTTATAAAGCAACTCAATATAATATACTTTCAACACTGAAGTTTAAGCCCATTTATTTTTGTTTTTGTTGAGTTTCAGGTAATATAACAAGAAATTGAAGAAAGCAATGGTGGTCTAAAAGTTTCTTCCATGACTGTATCTACCATCTTCTTTTTCTATTTTAGAATATCATCTGTACTTTGAATTGAATAAACACATTGAAAAAATGACTCACTTGACATTATACACACACAAACACACAGGTAGGTACCAATGCCAACACACACATTCACTTGCACAAAGACACAATAAGATTTCTCTGAAAGAGGAGCGGCTCTAAGTGGACAGGATGCAGAGCAAACTCCACAGGAAGCCCTGATAAGAGCACGACACTTATATCGCCCCTCACAACACAAAGGGGAACCTTTGACAGCTAGGAACCTTTAATGGCTGTCTCGGCATGCCCTCTCCTCCGCCAGTTATATCTGACGGATGTCTGTGGAGCGCTGGGTTGAATTAGTAGAGCGAAGTTGCCTGTTCGGGTAGACATTGGTGACAAGGTACATATTATTTTCTCTTTGACAGAGGGCAGAAAATGGAAATGGCTGCTTGGAGCGTGATGGTGATTGTGATTTTGATGGGAGATGA